CCTGTTAAGTGCTAAAGAACCACACACAACAGCCTCTGTGAAACCTCTTATCTAACCAACTTCTTAACCTTTAGCATCACAAGATCCGAGTGAGCATATTGGGACAAAAATCTATCACAGATGAAAGATTTGCCAGATTCTCAAAAACCACACATATACAGATTAGGAAAAAGGCATACTATGTACATCAAGGTTCACAAACAGGTCCTTTGTATCGTGGAAACTTCATTAGAGAAACAGATATTTTTATCGATGTCTGTTGGGGGGGTGGAAAAAGACATGACCAATTAGAAATGGTTTCAACTGTTCACATGGATTAGTACATTATTAAAGTCTCACAAAAATAAAGAAAGAAGAATTTTTGTGACAGAAAACAATGAAGCAGCCAGACTTTTTCAAGTTCAACATGCCAAGTCTTTGCTGTGCTCATAGAAAACAACAAGATACAAATGCTGAAAAACAATTTTTTTAAACTATGCCCCAGCCAATACTAGCAAAGCTGAGTCTCTACCATATTCAGAGTGCACGTAGCAGTTTTTGATGTAAGCGCGTGAAGACATTCACATAATGCACATTTCAGAAAGGAATGAATTATCAAGTCAAAATAAAGACTAATTTCACACAAGACAAACTAGAACAAAACTGTAACTTTCTTCTGAACAATCTTACGTTATTTATAGTTATAGTTTTCACTCTTGCAAGTTGCCTTGACTTCCCGAGCCCTAATGTTTCAAGCAGAGACATCCAGGATGGGAAAGGAAAATACTCACCCCACCTCACACTAGCCACACAGATGTCACCACAATGACTCAAGTCTGAATTGTCAGTGGGATCTGTTGGCAAACAGAAGACACTACTAGAGCTATTGATACTTCATCCAAATAGGAAAAAAAAGACTGGGAAAAAAAATAATAAACTCCACCCCCCTCACCAAGAAAAATGTAGTATTAGATTACCCCTCTGCAAAACATGACTCCCGTAAACATGATGAGCATGACAAAAACCAGACGACCAACAGCATGCTCAGCTGGCCCTGCACAATATTTGAGCAATACGATTTGCTACATTGACGGATAAGCTGGAGAAAGCAATATCGAGCAGCATAAAAGTCAGCACAATATGAGGGCGTCAAAACTTTTCCCACAAAATGTTGGGGCATGAGCAAATCAGTTTTGTGTTACAAATAAGCCCAATAGATGCGTAGCCTAACCAAAATGTTTCACTCTGCAATAAACAACCACTCCCCACTCCACGTATATCACCCAAGTGTCAGTAGTCCAAAGCCTCGTATACAAATTAGGAAAAACATATATATATTTATATATATATATAAAGCCCACACGCAGGCTAAGAAAATATTTTTTTGTTTCAAAACGCTATGTCTAAAGCATAATACATGTCACTTATATGTATATTATATTTATTTATACGATTACAATATATTTAAAATGTGATCTTACAAATCCACGCTGTGAAATCTCAACTGTTCAATGAAGGCACTCCTGGGTCAGTCTGTACAACTGACACATCACAATTTGACAAAACACGAGACATGACAATTTGACATATAACAAATTGACAAGACATTACAATTTGACCCTCACAGTATTACAAGACATGACATAATAACACAATATTAAGACCACACAGACACAAGACATCACAATTTGACACATCGCCGATACAAGACATCACACAATTTGACACAACACTGACACGAGGTGTCAGCAAACTGACATGGCACGACACACAAGAACGACTGGAGATATTGCTTGCCCTGGACACACCACTCCACGGCCGGCTCACAACAGACAGGAATGTTGGAACTGTGAGAGCTAAACTATCCACCAGGGACAGCCAGGACGCCCCACAAGCCCACACGTGATGCAATCACACTCAATATACAGACAAAAAGCAGGCAAACAAATGTTTCAAAATTTTCCCCACATCATAAAACAGGTTCTAAAATGCCTGATCACTTCCCTCCAAAAAGTTCACTCACAGGAACATACATATTCACATATTGACAATCGAACAAACTCAACAGCCCAAGGAAATAACAAATTTCTTGAGAATACTAATATCTCTGAAAGCGGGATAGAATATCTATCTCTTTTAAGAAATTAGAGTATACTTAAATCTTCGATGACATGAGAATATCAACATTTCTAACAGATGACAGTTTAAGGAGCGAAAAAGTAAACAATTCACGAACAGATTTTGTTGAACTTTCTGTAAAAAGTATAGATCAGTATTTTTTTAAAAATCCAGTGAACTTAAAGTCTAAAGAATTCATATTTGAAAACCATCTCTATCACCATCAGATACAATTTCAAGTATTGACAATCTTGTCAGCGAATCGAAGAAGAAAAGAACCCAGAAACTTTTATTGATTGCTGACAGATCGGATCCAAACAACCCTCTGACAGCTAACAGTAGTGTAGCTTGACAAACCCTACAGAGGCGGAGACCTGTGAGCAACCTGAAGATGACATATCCATTTTTTCACTCAAACCTTTATGAACTTTGTAACACAAGCCCCAAGCAACGGTGAACAAATCTTAAACAATTACGCATTACGGCAGGATCAAATTTTCATCCTAGAATGGTTTAAGAGAAATTTACCAACATAAATGTGATCTAATGGTGTTAGCTGTACCCAACATGAAGGTCCATTGGGACACTTCACACCATAAAGCTCTGTGCTTTGAAACAAGAATAATTGTGAAGTGCTTTCCAAGGAACCATCACAGTATTTTGAGTCTATCTGAAAAATAAATAATAATACAAGAAAGTTGCATTCCAGATTTAGAACAAATCTACTTTTTTCAGTGACAAGGTGAAGCAAATTCTTTTTTGCCTTGTGTTTCCCTTGTTTACATGAGACCCCTTCAAACAAATACAGAAAAAGACATCTTAATTTCCTTACAAAAATGTAGTTTTTCTGCTAATCCACAAAGAACGGATTTTGTGACTGAACAGGTTCCTTGAAATGTGCTGTTGATACATGATACTGCAGTGCACAAATAAATATTTAAGTGTAAGAGTCATATTACTACACCCACAGGTGCTAAAAAAAACTAACAAACACCAGGCTGAGCAAACAAACCTCCAGCCTAACTTTTTATGTTCCAATCCTGTCCACATGAACAAACTAGAACACGCACTGGAACGCAGTTGAACAAATCACCTGCACCTAAAAATAGCACAGCTACTTCCAAGAATCAGGCACCAAAACCCTTCCACCTCAAAATCATTTGGAATCATCATCATATCTAGCAGTCTTTTCATACACCTTACTCAAAATATACACTTTTTCTATTTGACAATCTCTTCACACCTTGAGATGGCAAACTCGGGTCTTCTTTCTCCTTTGGAAGAACACACTAATAGAACTACGTTCCTCACACTCTATGTCACACAGTAGACAAGACTAGATATTAGCGAGCAACCAAAAACTCGACTGAGGAACCACAGGCCTCTCACCGGCTGAAGGACAACTTGCTCCAGACATCGCAGCCACAGACACAAGTGCCCATTCCCTTACCCACTAATACACACACACACCTTTTGATTGATCGAACAAAACAAGGAGACGCCTCCACACAGCTGACTCTCGACTGTATCAGGTTTTTATACTATTGAATTATTATACTAAATGTTGATATCACTGATAATAAACTTTCTGTACAGTAATGAATGAAAATGATAAAATATGTTAGCCGTATTTGTACTTACATAAGCATAAGTCTGAAAGAACTCTTTATGACTTCCTGGGAAGAAAGTTAGAAAACTTCAAAACAAATGGTTCCACTCATTAGTCAAACAAGATAACAGCACTATAATAGATCATGGATTTCTGAGTCAGAACTTACAGTCAAACCTGCTCTAATGACACCCTGATCAAAACAAACACCTGTACAAACGAGCACTTCTTACTTCACTCCTTGCATTTTTTCTATATCATAATGACACCGTCCAAGAGGACCACCTGCCTAAGATGACGGCTTTTCTCCTCGACAATGGGTCGTCATCTTGGACAGATTCGATTGTATAGTCAAAACATTGCAACTTGTGAAAATGAGAAAAACAATAAAACACCTTCAATTTTAACAAAGTAAAACCAATACAGTCGATTCAGAAAGAAAAAAAAACACCTTTCATTTTCCACACCATCATTGGCATATTATCTTGCTTTTAGACCTGAGCACTAACACTATTTCTGAAAAAAGACACCAATAAATGGATAAGATTTGACCTCAACAAACGAGGTCTCCAAATTTTCATGAAGCCATGAGACTTGACAAACAGAAATGTTAGTATTCTACAGAAACTGCTTTCTTGTGACAACAAATGCATGGAAACCTTCATAACGTACTAGATAAAAGACAGTGCCTGTACTGGAGAGGAGAGATTTTTAACCATTATTCTAGAAGCTATATCATTAACTACCTCCTATCCACCGGAAACCTGCTAAGCCAGACGGCAAGGAGCCTTGCGTTCGGCTCAATAAATACGAGCTTTTTGTACATTAAAGCTAGATGTTGTTCTAAAACGCCTTCACCACCACACTCACAGCAGAAAATGTATGGAAATCAGGAAAAATCTGAACAGGAATAATCTTGATTATAAGGGCATATAAGTAACTCGTTAGATAAAGTCTATCAGAGACAGAAAAAACCAAAGCACAATCACCAACACGTCAAAAAAGAAGACAAGAGATAAAAGGCAAAAGGAGTAACAGAACCTGGAAGGACACATCAGGACCAACAGACAAGTTTTTGCAAACAGAAAACAGGACGACCAAACAGGTCAAAATGGGCAAGACTATTCGCCAGTCAATACATCCACTTATCTTTGTTAATACTTGGGGTTTGCAATCTAATACTTGAGGGAGGCATCTTACAAACAGAATGTTTCAAAATTTTGTATTAGAAACTATGATACTAATGGTACAGGCAGTTTTGAAATCTTTATATTCTTTAGGACCCCCCCCCCCCCCCCCCCCCACCCAATCCCCCAAGTCAGAGCCCTCAATGTGTCCAAAAGCCCAGGAAGGCAGACATAAAACTTTGGACACTAGCAGTGTTAACATCTGCACTTCATCCCAAGTGATGATGTAATACTTCAGGCCTTGGTGAAGGCTACAGTCGAAGAAAGACAATATTTTCGCCTCAAAGTCGAAGGGTGCAACAACGACTCAGACAGTATTATTTTAACAGAAATGAAACTTGGAAATGTTCTTAAAGTCCAAAGAAATACAAAAACAAAAACAAAAACCCAGTCTTGATTACAAATGAATATAAACAGGTCAGGGTGACATGTCTTTGTGAGACAGAAAAGGCCGCACACACATGTAAAGACATACACGCATGGACATACACACACACACACACACACACCACTACCAATAAACCAAAACAAAACAAGAGTCACAAAAATGCCATCAGAAAGACCGATGAATGCACATTGGTCCCAAACCATTTTACCCTGGCCGTCAAAGAGTAAAGATAAAAATATTTGCACACGCACAAAAGGCGGCTCAATAAAAGACCTATGAATAGATCATTACCATTTCTTTGGGAACTTCTCTACAGAAACCCAAGTGTAATTTGATTGTAAAACATACTCCGCCACCAACATGTATTAGATCACTAAGGTGGCAGGCTGCTTTGACCCAGCTTAGCACGATCAATCTGGGCAAAGCCAAATAGAGACCGAATCCTAGCAGAGGGGTGTTTAAAATAACTTCCCCCACTAAGAAAGTGAACTCCATGTTTTTAGTGTGCAAAGCAAAATGCCGGACCATTACAATACAGTAATTGTTCACAAATGTTGATGTACTCTGCTATGTTCCTCTGACAAATACAAAAACTTCAAGCAACACAAAATACTTGTTATACTTCCACTGGAATCTGATGATGAGGGAAACTCTACAGAAGATATCCTGGCTTAGATTTGTCTTCTCTGTAGCTGTGATCACTTTAAAAGGCAGACTTTCTCAGAATATCTTGTCTTCAGGCCCCCAATGCCACCCGCAAACATTGAGATTCAGCATTACTAAAAATACTCTGTTTCACTGAAGGTTTAGTATGGTTAAATTAAAGAGAAGTACATTGATATAACTGCCATTTAGCACTAGGAGTGTAAGCCAGGCTAATGAACTGAAAGAACGTAATGACGTAGGACCTAGAAGTAACACCCTCCATACACCCACTCACTGGAAGAACAGCAGCAAGGAGCCACCTATAAGACTCCCCACATCAAAACGACACATTGACAAAATGACAAGGAGGACGGACAGAGCTGCAGCCTAATTCCTAACAGCCACAAAAATCAGAAGCTTATAAAATTCATTAGATCTTCAGAATGAAATGAAATGCAAACAACATTTCTGGTTACCTTTATAATTAAGTACAATAAGTATATCGCCGACATGCTAAGATAATGGCCTAAGTCAGATCTTGGCATAAGTCTCACCAACTTCCATGTAAAATTACCTGCAACCATATCATAAAACTAGAAGCATCAACAAATTTCTGACTAATGAAAAGAAACCATTATATTTAAAGACAGGTAAAAACGAAATTTGGACCATCCCCCCCCCCCCCCAAACATACTCAATACTACAACAAATGACAGGTCATTATTGAAGCATGTTGACGATATATGCCATTTCCAAAGCCAAGACGAAACACTGCTGAAATTATGCATTCCTTTGGAGAATGGGACTTCAGAAATGATTAAAATTGAGTTCAGAAAAGATTAAAGTTGAGTTCAGAAAAATTAGTTATTTGACAAACCAATGGTGAGCTGAACTCTAAGACTAAATTATTTTTTCCATCTTGAAACTAAAGTGCACAAACAATGCTTGAACATCTCAAGTTTCAAGATGGCAGCACTTTATGTGGGGTGATAAAAATGAATGCGAAGGTTGAAAATGGATTTGAATATGCACATTTGCCTAAAGAAGTGACTATATATAGTATGAATGACGATTATATTTTAAAATGAAAAAAGTGGAATACTCAAAAACCCAGAAAAAAAAAACAGCAAAAGGAGACCAGACCCGTAGATATTTCCATTAAAAAATCTAACTTCAATATCATTTGGACAAGACAAGTAAATGTGAAAATCTGCCTGTTCTCTTGATCTTGGAAGTGAAAAAATACAAAAAGGTTAAGAGGGGAAAACATCTGAGAGTGAGAACAACAGTTTCATTGACCCATTCTTGGACAATTACACTCAAACACAAAAATCAACCAAAAGAACATCACCATCTCTTTCTCTTCAACTTTGAACTTTGATCATGCTTAGAGTCTCACATTTTCATACACCCCAAGAATTAAGATACTGTTTGCTTTGTTAAAATCCACACACACCACACCCTCAGGCTCAGCTTTTCACAAATTGCTGCAAAAGACAAACGATAGTAGTATGTCGGGTTGTCACTTCACTCAACTCCAAGGCAGGGTTTTCATGGGAAGGAACTTTGTGATAGGAAGGCAGTGGTCAGTAGAATTCCGAGTCGGAACTCTGGACAGAGCCAGAATGTTCCTTCTGGTCCTGGTTGCTGTCCACTGGACCTTCCTGTTGGTACGTCTCTGGACCGTCCATGGTTTTGGTTAAGACTGTAACAAAATAGTAAAATCATAAAGAATGGAACTCAGGTAAAGCTACTGGACCTTATTACACTGGACAAATGTATTGCCTCACAGATGTACTATATAGGTTACAAATGTTAAAGATAACTTTGGAAAACAACTGCACAAGCTGCATTTTAACTAATTAGGCATAAACATTGCAATTTTGAGATTGAAAAGTGAAAGAAAGAAATAAAAAAAACAATATACATTTTATAAGATTGATTCAACCCAATATTTTAGGGTTTTCAGGCAGTACCTCGCTCAGCGGCACTATCTCTCCTCCCCCGACCATTTTCAAAGAGGCCCACATACACATATATCAAAAAACCCAAAATCCCTTTTTAAGACAAAAAAAAGTAAGGACGGTAAAGTTATTTTACTAATAATTTCTGATTAGGGCGATGAATCACACACATCCTGCATGCAACAGAACTCCCAGCTGGCCAGTCAGAACTGAGGAGGGAAACTTACCGTATGCCTGAGTGTTGGAGATAAAGCGCGAGGACTTTGAGTTGACATGGTTCGGCGTGGCAGCAAAAGGCATGTGGGCAAGAATGATGGCGAGGCAGTCTGCGACGCGTGGAGATGGAGCACAGGACAAGGCTGGGGTGTAACCTGAGGGGAGTTTAGAGTTTGATTTGAGAAAGAGAGAAACAAATCAAGAAGATTTTAGTCATTTTTCTCTTCTTCAAGTGTCAGAGTTCCAAGTGTTCCAAGTAACAACAAAGTCTCTAAGCAAGTCACTCACTGCCTACTACCTCTGCTTCTTTTGACTTCTAGCACCTAGACTTCATAAAGTCACTGCTAAGATTAACGTTCTTCATGCTGATGTTTCAAGACGCAGTAAGGAAAGGATTGCATATGCCTAAGGGTACCCTGGGTCCTCTCATTCATAGGCTTAACTTAACAAAAAATTATGGGCAGACAACAACTAGATCTACCATTTTCATCCAGGGCAAGAACACTTCCCCCTTTGCCAATGAGATCTTGAACAACCGGAACCAGCCCGTTTCTTGCTGCGATGTGGAGAGGTCTGAAAGAAAAAATTTGTCAATCAGTCAATGATTAAAATCTTAAAAACTAATTAGTATGCTGAATGGGCAAACTACATGAAACTATGGCAAAGAAAAACATAATAATAATAATAATAATAATAATAATAATAATAACAATAACAATAAATAATAATCATCATCATAATAATAATAATAACAATAATAATAATAATGACAATAATAATAATGGTGATGATGATGATAATAATAATAATAATAATAATAATAATAATAATAATAATAATAATAATAATAATAATAATAATAATAGTGTACTTCCACAGTGACTATTCCCCATTCAGGAACTAAGTGTTTTTTTAAAAATGGTAAAACTCAAAACATTATACTCCAACAGCAAGACACTTCTTAAAATGGAATTGCAACGCTCATTTGAAAGAGACCACCAAAATGCAAGCTAAGAGAAATACAAACAGCCACTTTATGAAAAAAACAGAAGTTTTTACACATGAAAACGAGTGTCGGTCTGTAAGTCACACATGCGCACGCGTCAGTGAGTTTGTGTGTGTGAGCGTGTGTGTGTTATGTTGCTGTTCTTTTTATTTTTGTCTCATGTCCCTTTTTTGGGTGCCATGGTAGTGTTCTTATTTGTACCAGACAATCATTGACTCAGAAAATGAGAGTGAGAGTGAGTAGGTACATTGATATTTCAACATTAAAATGGATCTATAACGGAACATGAATAACAATAATTATTAGGTCTATTTGTTAGTGTTTGATTATAATTTAATTTATTGGTGCTTTTATTTTTCCTTGCTTTTGTCGCCTATTCTAGCTAGCGAAGCTCGACTGTTTTCCCCAAGACCGCGGACGGGTATACTAGAGAGCAAAATGACCTAGATCTAAACAAAAGCATGTCGATGTTTCCACAAACATATTTGTTTGCATATGAGATGTCCACGTTTGAAAAGCATGACTCCTCAAGTCACAGAAGAAAAAAAAGCACTTAAATCAAGCTGTGAAGGAAAACATGTCATAACCAATCAAAAGTAGCAGCCCAGCACCAAACACACTGGTTTCTACTATGGTTTAGTTTTAGTTTTAGTAGGAGTTTTACGGCACTTGCAACACAATAAGGTCATATAAGTGCCGAAGACTAGAGGTGTTACAAGAGAGTAACAAACATAAAAAAAGAAGGAGGGGGGGATAGAGACGATAGATTTTTTATAGGAAAGAAGGAGCAAACCACACCAGAGCACCCGCCAACCACCCACCTACTATGGTTTTAAACATTTATTCGTTCAGATTTGTGATTTGTTTTGGATAGTCAACCTTTTTTTTTTTCCGGTTCATCACTTGGAAACTAAAGGGTAAAAGCAGCATTCATAATACAGACAGATTAACAAAGATTTTTTTTTCCCCATACATTTCTGCACATGTAACAGGGGGTAGGAATGTTTACCTGCAATCCTCTAACACATCTCTAAGTTTCATGTCTGCCTTTATATATAATGTGAAAGAATATGCATTTCTAGTACAGCCTTCTGAAACAAGAAAGTAGTGATCTTGAACACATAATCTTTATCTTTAAAAAAAAAAATTTTTTAAGAAATCAAAAAAAAAACCCAAGGGACATATTTTAAAAAGTTGAATGAAACTTTCACAAGATCATTAATTTTTAGCTTAGAATTACACGACAAAAACAGATAATGACAAAACATTCTTTATACATATCAGACTACCGCACATAACTTGAAACCAACAACAGTACTCCGAAAACCATTTTAAAAAAAGGTGTGCTGGGGTTGAGATAATGCAAACAAAAACTGGAAAGCACTAATTCAAAACTCACGTTCTGAGCTCTGCATTGGCCATGTTTATGGTGATGGAATCATCAATCTTGTCTAACAGTAACAACGCAATGTCTTCTCGATTCTGAAACAGAACAGACGCCAACAATCCTCCAGTGAGCAGGCAAAAAGCATGTGCAACAAACGGCAAGGCAACACCTGAGCGGCATGACCCACACCAAGTATTTTTATAAGAGGCAAACGCTAAAGCCATTGTAGAAAATGCAAGACCCAAAAAAATAGAAAAACCAGATCAGGAAAGCTGATTTTCCAAATATACTGAGACACTTATGATTGAGCATAGCCCTATTATTCAGAACTCAGATGGCGAATAAAAAAGCTTTTTTAATTTCAAATAACAGTACCTACCCTACTCACTTAAGCATCGAGCTGAACTTGTTTGAGCAGTGTCAATGTGCAAATTGTTATTGTCAAAAGAAAAAAGAATGATTCAAACAATTTTTATTCACCTTGTAAAAGCAGAATGATCAGAGATAGGGGGCCAACTCATTTCGTTGCAACAGCATTGACATACTAGGTTCTATACAAGCTGAGGTGTAAAAGCTACTGTTGCTAAACCTCTTTGCTTTCTATCTTTAACGAAACGAGTTCTTTTATTTTAATGAGTTACACATCCATAACAAGAGAGTTTGAGAAAACAAACAAAAGGTCACGATTTTTTAAAAATTTCATTCTTTGTTGTTACTCGATTGTCACACATGGTCCTCTGCATTGTATGAAAACGCAGAACTTGACAGATCTGGAAGATTTTCCTAAAGCGTCAAACATCTTTACTTCACACTACTGAACCTTAAAACACCAACAGTGGTACCGTAAGTGTTTTGGAAGTACAAGCTTAAACCATAACCTCCAAAGCAGCACCAAGCACCATACAGGCAACACAATCAGCATACCAAAAAATCCTTTTTTTTTAAAATCTGATAAAAGGCCAGTAAGTAACAAAAACTTCATCTTACTATGATTCTTTTACATTTTTCAATTCTCAAACAAATAAGTCATAAGTATATATCTGTGACTGATTACCAGCAGCATTTTTAAAATGTATAAGCATGGTGCAACAAAGGAAAATCATTGAACATTGCATACAAAGCTATGAAAATGGAATACTCGGAAATTCAAGATTGAAGTTTCTCTATAGGGAGGGCCATGTTGAAAAACCGCGTCCTAATACTCTTGTAATCGGGGCTAATAGTCTATGTAAACTCATCAAGACTGAATATCAGATACAATGTAACTTTAGCATTCCTTACGCCAGTTTCGTATCCTTTCACTAAAAATCCATTTCACAATACAAAGAAAACACAAGTCCCAGAAATCAACATTATTATTTTATCATATTTAAAAGAAAAAGCAAAGAAATCCTTAAGCAAATGAAGAAAACAAATAGGCTGTGTTAAGCTTAAACATGCCCCAGAATGCGACTCACATGGAAACAAGCGTGATGCAAGGCCGTGTTCCTGTCCTGGTCTGAAGACGTCAGGTCGGCCCCGTGCTCCAGCAACAGTTCTAGGAACAAACAAAAAGCAAAACACTGGAACATCCCTCTGATGTAAAACCCAAAGAGACAAAATGAACCCTCTTTGTTTCGTTTTAGTAAGTTTTACAGCACTTCAACACAAATAGGTCACATAAAAAAATGCAAGAGATTAGAGGTGTTACTAGGGAGTGACATACGAAGACAAGGAGGAGAGATAAGAACGATGTTTGATAGGAAAGAGGGAGCAAACCATACCAGAGCACCCACCAACCACCCACAGAAGACCTTATAAAGGGTAGGCCAAAGACATTTTGCATGTCCTGCTTGCACACTACATTTTCTGACATGCACAAGCCTGATAAGCTACATGTACCAAACTTCAGAACATAAGATGTAGACGAAGTCAGAACCTCAAAAAATTACCTCTGTAAGCACAAAAGGAAAGTGTAAATGGTCACCTGAGGGAAACAACATAGAGGCCCTGTTGACAAGCAAACCTCACCCCCACCCCTCTTTTACTTCTTGACATTTTTGTAACAAGACTCTACAAATCTGTCTGGATTCTTCTGGATTAAATATCACTGAAAATATACATGCCCACTCAAGGTAAAAATTGTGCATGTCCAAGCCAGAAGGAGCATTCATCCATCCCCCCCCCCCCCCCCCCCCGCACACACACACACACACACTAATAAACACATACACACACACATCATTACAACCTCATCCCACTCACCAACGGCAGCCACATGGCCATTGGCAGCAGCATACATAACAGGTGTTTTCCCCAAGCTGTCTACGATGTTCACATTGGCTTTGTGACCCAGTAAGATCTGCATTGACTCTCCCTGGTCAGAGAAGGCGGCTGAGTGGAGGGCCGTTCGGCCCTTACTGTCCTGGCCGTTGATGATGCCGTCACCCAGACAGTCGATCAACAGCTCTGTACAACTGTCGTTCCCATTTATCCTGAGAGAGAAAGAGAAAGCATCAGATACAGTCAAAATTGTCTTGGACAGCCACTCATTGCTGAGGAAAAAAGTGGCAATCTTATGCTTTCGTGTCATTAAACCGAAGAAAATGTAGAGGGTTGGGAATCGGCTGTTTGTACAGGTGATTGTCATATACAGGTTGCCATTACAGCAGGTTTGACCGTAGAGGGAAACCTATTGTTTCTTTTGTCTAACTCAATCAAAAAACTGTGCGGGGCTTGTAATGACCTAGAAAAAAAAAAGACGGCCTCATCACATAGATGGGGATATCCCACTGGCCATAGGAGCAACATACCTTTGATGTAATAACCTTGTAAAACCTAGGTCCTCATCTTGGTAACTGAAGAGAGGTGTCCAAACATGACACGGGACCAACATAACAATTTCCAATGAAGAAAGAGAAACTTCTATAAAACTACAAAGCTTCAATAAACACACATACTTTCCACAGAAAATGTCCACTTTCATATGAAAGCTATTTTTACAATCTTCTCTTCTCATATTGCAAAGCCCACCAGTGCATCGTTCAAACCCAGCTTACATCACACTACACAGTAGGAAGATTTCAATTATCATTAAACCTTTGGGGAGCCTACAGGACCTGTTCACCTGAGCTCTTATTGGTCGACTGCTGGATATACAGCACACAAAGCTGACGTGTGCATAGACCTGCATGTGAGCCTCAACCAGATTGTCTGAAAATTTTGCGCAACCCCCCCCCCCCCCCCCCCCCCAAGCCTTTGTGGGTGTCATAAGGAAGGACATCCGAGTAACGTGCAACCACCCCAACAAACACAATAAAGAAGAGACCTAACCCTAACCCTACCCCCAAAAAGAACCTGCAACGGGCCTCATGTAAAAAGGCCAAAACAAGTCCTAAATGAAAAAAAAAATTTTTAATTAAAAAACCACACTCCAAAACAAACAAGGAGCATATTATAATCTAGATCTAGAATCTAGATTCTGGATCTATGGCTTACATCTACATTGCTATAGGGTTTGATACAATAACACTTGGGTAACACTTGACAATAGAATTGGAATATGAATCCTCCATATAGATCTCTAATCTAAATCTAAATAAATCTAGATCTAGATCTTGTAGAACAAGTGAATAGGAATAGGCCTTGAACTAGAAATCCGCATCCGATCCCGAACAGAGGGACTCAGCTGAGTCTAGATTCTAGATCTAGATCTAGAATCTAGATCTATATCTAAATATATAGATTAGATCTAAATAAATAAATAATTCACGCACCTGATGAAATGCTTATTTTTTACCAATATTAATATTACAGCACAACCTATGATAGGGTTTGACACAATAGAATTGGAATATGAATCCTCCATTGAGGTCCATAATGATCTATATAAATCTAGATCTAGATCTAGATTCTATTAGAACAAGAGAGTCGGACTTGAATGAATCCACACGATCTACAATTGTCAACAAACGAAATTCAAAATGGCCGCTCGAGCACGAAACTGAAAGTAGATAATTTAAGTTGTCGTCCTTTTTCGTATTCGCATTTCTACTTAGGTTCCGACAATTATGTCGGAAAGGCCGACGTCGGCAGTCGGCGGTGCGCGCGTCGGCGGTCGACACGAAAACGAAAGTGCCGACGAAGTAGACGGGAGAAAAAGGGGTCGCTGGCAGTCGGCCAAGCCTCGCACTACGGACATTGCGATAGCATCGTCCGGTTCGCGATTGTCGGATTTCAGACGATTGTCGGCAAACATGCAGGTCTATGTGCATTCTGTGCAGAGTAAAGGCATCAGGCCCATAGGGCAGAGTATAACATGTAGACAGCTGTGTCCATTTGATCCCATGAGACTTTTCTTTCATTGCCAAGGTTTGCACATCACACAACAGTCAGAGATTCTACTTACACAGCACAATGTAGGGGGGAGAAGCGGTTCCCTGAAAATTTCTTTAGCTCCTCCTTCTCCAAGAGCACTTCCACACAGCTGTCATGTCCTGAAGGCAGAAAGGAAGACAAAAATATTCAATGATATTCTAAGCTACCAGCACAAACAAACAATAATTTTAAGTGTACTGCATCTACATAGATAATAATAAACATAGAAAAATGAGCTTTTGCCTTTCAAAAACCTAAATAGTTAATTTATTGTCTTAACACAGTCTGAAAGACCACACATGGCCGACATGTGCACAGTATCGTGCCTTGTGCCTTCTCAATGATAAACAAAACACAGATGACATTACCACTGTGAAAATGAGGACCAGACACTTTAGTTTTTAGTTTTAGTAAGGTTTTATGGTGCTCGCAACTGCATAAGGTCATATGAGCGTCAAGGGGTGGATGTCAACAGAGAAGTCCAAACTGGGAATCAGGCTTACTCTGCCCACCTCTCTGGCCTCAACAGCACAAAGTCTGCTTCGACTTTAAAGGCACCCTGAAAATAGCAGTTCACAAGAGAGTGACAAACATACAAAAGAAGTAGAGGACAAATGACGATAATAAGGATGTGGAAAGAAAAAGCAGCAGTTCCTCCTATGTTTCTCCGGCACAGTATGAACATGACATTGATAAATCAGCCCATTTACAATTCCACTGTGCATGAGAACATGTTAATATCCCCCTTTTTAGCAATGACTTAAAGAAAACTTCAGTCAGTAGCACTGCCCTGGTGGGGGTGGACCATACACTATTCCCTTCAGCAAGTTTGTATAAGACAAAAGCCAAGACAGTATTAATCTTTCTGAGGGTGTTGTAACAAGAGATAACATCTCACCATTGTAACAACTAAAATGCAGCGGTGTGTAGCCCCTGTTGTCTTCTAAGCGGTCCATCGGGCCTGCCTGTGTCACACAGGAAGGAAAGAATATTAATTTTAATAATCACTATTAAAGAATAATGCCCACAACACATATTGCAAATTATCAGAACTAAAATACCTTACAGAACTTGTATTAGAAACAATCACTATCCAAAAAGTCTTGCAAAACACATTTTTAAAAAAAAATGTAGTTAAAACAATATCATGCAGAATATTTGCCAGATTTAATCACGGTTTAAAAATATCTTACACAACACATTCTACAAAAAAATCATTCTCAAACTCTGACATATAGCCTATTTCTTTACCTCTGGGCAACAAAAGGAAAACTGTAAATTGCCATTTAAATCCTACCTAACTACCGTTCGGAAGCAAATTACTCTATCCAAACATACATATTGTATCAATTAAAGACTTTTTCATGGAAACGAGCAACTGTTCTGAGATCAAATTTATCACATCTGTGAATAAAAAACTCAAGGTGTCTTAAATAAAAAAATTTTAAAAGACAATACACTATTGGCTGAAGAAAATAACTCTCTAAACAAAAGGTACAATGAAAAAGGTGTCATGCACCTCTGAGACACAATACAGAAACAGGACATCTGAAGACAAAGCTAGTAATTCACTTACAGCCAACAGGTAGCTGAGCAAAGCCATGTGACCACACATAGCCGACATGTGCACAGCTGTCCTGCCCCGGTTGTCTCGCAGCGTGAGGTCAGCTCCGTGTCGTATCAACTCGTCTATACAGTCCTCGTGACCATTTGCTGCCTGGAAGAAGAATCACTTGTGAGGTTTGTTCTACATGGAAAAATCTTATCAACAATTTCAGAACTACGCTCCGATATGCTTCTTCCCAAGAAAAATCAGTAAAAGATGGGTAGTAAATAAGGAATGAAAATGGCAAAAATACTAGCCGTGAACACATTGCAACCAATTACTTGTCATTGTATTACAACTTCAAAAAAAACCCAAAGGTGATAAATATGACTAATCTTAATGTGAAGTCACCGATCTGTCACAGCAGCAGATAGCACTTCAGCTAAAATGGAACTACATTTTAAGTCCTCCAGTATCAGAATATGCCTCCTACAGCAATTTTTTTCCAGTACTGATAGAAGAACATGCACAATTAACACAGCTAACATGGGCCATGGACAGCTAGAAAAACAAATGAAGAAGTCTTGGTTGAAGCAAATTGCAGAAGACAGCTTATGGATGAATATAAGAAAGCGACAGGCAAATTTCTTCGGAAACACAATGCGGAAAGAAGCATTGGAGAATATTGTAACAACAGGCAAGTTTGATGGAAAGAGAGGCAGAGGCAGACAGAGGGAAAAGATACTGGACAAGATGACAACATGACTAGGAGCAGCAAGAACAACAGACACCATTGCTGCAACACAAGACAGAGTTAAGTGGAGTTCCATGATCGCCCACGCCAGTCGGCAAGGCACCGGATGATGATGAACATGCGCTTCAACAGCTCTGTTGGGTTTCCTGCTTGACTACACTAAAGATAATCCAAGTTCAAATTCTCAGTGAGACATTTTTGAATTCAGGTTGTTTGAAGAGTTTTCATTGTTGTACAACATCAGATAGATACTGACTTCTGAGGTTCTACCTCTAAAAATAGCTTTACGGTGAAAAAAAAAAGGGGTGTTAAACACACACACACACACACACACACACACACACACACACACACACACACACACACACACACACACACACACACACACACACACACACACACACACACACGCACACACACACACACACACACACACACACACACACACACACACACACACACACACACACACACACACACACACACACACACACACAGCTCACATACCCCTCTGTGAAGAGCGGTCCTGCCATCAGTGTCCCTGGCATTAACTATGGCGTTGTTTCTGATTAGGTACACTGTGCTCTCCACATGACCCTGTTCCACAGCCAGCATGAGGGGTGTTCTGAGGAGAGAATCAGGATACTTTGGGTGAGACATTGCAAGGACTAGGAACACTCCTGGAAACTGGTGGTTACTTCACACAAATGTTGCCCCGACAAAACAGAAGTGCTTGAGTGTGGGCATAACTGAGTCGGTGTGTATCTCTGTGAGTGAGGGCTCCAGTGAAAGATGAGTAGACATACGTGTGTGCATGTTTGTGTGAGTGACGGCTTGTACAAAACAAATTGCAAGTATTTATATATCGTTGGTATCCAACTCTAAGCCTGCATGCCTCAAACTAAGTCAAATACTTTTTAAAAAAGAAAATGTCATTTCTTTCTTATTATTATCATACAGAAGTGCTAAAAATTGTGCGAAGTGTTCTCTTATTACAGTATCCTCAACTGTACTTATCGTTATGAAAAACATGATCTGACACAAAAGAAGTGAGTGTGTGCGCGTGTGTATGTGTGTGTCTGCATGAAAGTGTGTGTGTGTCTGTGCATGTGTGTGTATGTGTGAGAGAGAGAGAGAGAGAGAGAGAGAGAGAGAGAGAGAGAGAGAGAGAGAGAGAGAGAGAGAGAGAAGATTCTGTTCTTTGATTGCAGACGGCTTAAGTTATCAAAGCGATTGACAAAACAACCTAAAAGGAAAACTTACTGGGAACACAAAACAGCTAGTTCCTTTTTCAGAGAAAAATTATATGCTCGTTTAGTCATTACAGAATGGCTTTCTTTATTAACTATGCTAAATTCTTTCGTGTTTGTGGAAATACGACCCGACACATCATGTTTTTAAAACTGCTTGTTCCGCGTCAAACTCACAAACTGATTAATAAAACATTACCCAACCCAGACGTGTATAATTCATTTATCTTGGACTTCCAGGTCAAACTAAAGGCTTGTCAGCTCGTACTTTTTTATGTTCGGCCCGAAGCATAATACAATAATAACTCCGTACCGGACGGTGGTACCGCCCAGCCATGGTTACGGACCTCGACCACCGGACACTGCCACCGTCCAGACATAATATTTTTTTTTTTAAACCCAAAAAACTGGTGCACATAATGTAGGAACGTGTGTTTTCCTGGTCAAAGCAAAAGCTTTGTTGCAAAGCACCCCCAACCCCCCCCCCCACCACTTTTCCTTCTTTTGGCACTATAAGCTGACCTAGCTGACACCCGCCTACTGGGTCGAAGCTTCGGGCGGGGTGTCTACGCCAGATCTAGCAGACGACTTAATGAGAGTAGTTCTGGCGCTGTTCTTTGAAACAAAAAAGTGCACTCATTCTCCCATCAGTTAATGATGGGTTAATTCTGGTGTTCGTGATTAGTATTTCGTAATATTATTATAGTCAATTCTTATCAAAACGATGATCTGACCGGCAGAGGTTTCAATCTGTAGCATACTGGCGTTAGCAGAAATTATAGCAGTAGCGGAGTACTTTTCTTATATATATATATAAATATATATATACTTATATATATATATATATACATATATATGCTTATAAAGGTTTGTGTAACATAAAATTGGCAGCAGTTTTGCATTCAGCATGCTCAAATCAGATGCACATTTGAAATATCAGTTTCATATCTGTAACAATTAGTTATTGTTTTATTAATTTAAAAATATGTGTTTTTGCGTGTTCATTTTGCCAGACTGCGATATGGTTCACTCGGTCATTTTTACAATTACGTCAGAAATTATACCTTAAAATTATGGTTTGTTCCAAGCCTGAAAAAAAAAATCTTTTACTGCTAGATCTATCAAAAAGTTTAAGAAGTTTTGACTTCCAAGAATAATAAGCTTTCAATCTAGCAACAGGTTTCTAATATTAACCTGTTGTGCCTGTACATGTATCCCCCCAAACAAAAATATCGTTATAATATCATTGAGGAGTCATTTTAATACAATTTAATGGCTTTACAGAATAGATTTTCAGGAATTTTCTTTTAGGTTAAACTTGCATACGCGAGCCATAAATTAAATTATATTATTACTTTGCACACAATCATTTTCACATTTGCATTGTGAGGATCCTGGTGAGAGAGAGAGAGAGAGAGAGAGAGAGAGAGAGAGAGAGAGAGAGAGAGAG